CACACACACACACACACACACACACACACACACACACACACACACACAGATCAGACAGCTTAATGTCAGCTTTGCCCTTTTTAACCTGCTCTGACCTCACCTGCTACCTGACTTCACAGGGTCATGTGACACTTTAGACCAATCACAGGGGAGCTCCTTTAGCTTGATAACTGATAGTTTATAAATCACCTCCTTCTCCTCCAGCTGGTAGGAAACATTACATTCATACCCTCCTCCCTCCCCTCCAGTTTTCCCTGCGACTCACCCAGGCATGCACACCTCCCCCTCCCCTCCCTGTGAGGACAAGCGCGGCTAAAAATGACTGAAGGCAGAAAGGGAGAGAGAGAGAGTCTCTGCGATCCACCCAGCTGTCAGTCATCCATCAGGCTCTCGGACAGCTGCAGCACCAACACCATGCTAACACCGCGCTAACCGCACGCTAACCCGCGCAGTAAATAAACTCTGCGGTCTCCAGTTTACGCTCAACATTTTTATTTTAATTCAAAGTGACGTTTCCAGGCTGATTGATTACGTTCGCTCAGGTCAGCAATCAAAGACTCTAGGTCTGCAAAAGTGCCGCGATCGAGCTAAAACACTGGGTCTCTTTCTGACGCTCCTGCAGGATAAGTTACTCTGACTCATTCTATGAAAGGTTTAAGGAAAAATAAATGCCTTTACGTTGCTAGAGTTGCTTTTAAAGTTGCTCTTTTGGTATGGAAGCTGCCCTTGAATTTCATCTTTAAGGCATCGCTCTTTAACTTTATGCAGATATTATTTGCATAATATATTTTGTTTTTGAAGGATTCAAGTTGCCGCTGAAGTCGAGTGTTGTTCTTCACAAGCCACCCTTAGTTTCTGTAGTCCGAGAAAGTACTGAAGGTGCGCTTTAAGCAATAAAGGATTAGTGTTAAAGGATGACTTTAATCCAGTTCCAGTTTAATCCACTTTAAGCCTGTTAACTTTAATTTTCTCTTTAAGGACTGAAGTTAGTTTCAAAGCAGCTGTTTGAGCTGAGTTGTTGTTAAAGGTTTAAAGCTGCTCTTTCATTTGTTCCTCGTGGAATAAAGTTGCTTTTTAAGCAAAAAAAGTGACTCTTAATTTTTTTCTGTTAGGAATAAAAGCCGATCATTAAGCGATAAAGTTGCTGTTAAAGCTTTAAGGATTAAGGGTGTTGTTGATGTTTCAAAGTTACCCTTCGGATGAAAGTTGCTCTTCAAGTTACTCTTTAGGCATTAAAGCTCCTGTTAAAGGCTTAAAGCTGCGCTTTATGTTGCTCGTTAGGAGTTCAGGTTGCTGGTGAATCTCCTTTAGCACAGTTCAGTGTAGATTAGTTGCTGTGTCCAGCTGCTCAGACAATGTGATTTTTAATTTTCTCGATCAGTGGAAAAAGCAGGCAGAGTTCAATCCAAGTGCCACCATGCTGACGCCTGAGGGTTGACACACACAAACATCTGTGTGTGCACAGCTGACTGACAGATGTGCACAGCTGCGTAACAGCCCGGGCACGAGAGGGTTAACGGGGCCTCCCTGAGCAGCTCTTCTTTCTCAAGACAACAGCAGATTGTTTCAGTTAAGGTCAAGTGTCTCTCTGTCACAGCGAGGCTATTTTAACTCGACCGCGGCGTCTGCCAAATTCCCATGACATCAGAGGGAGGGCGAGGGGGCGGAGGGAGGTTCAGAAGGTCACACCGTTTGTTCTTCACAGGATCCAGCTGTACGCGCTCGCTGCGAGGCCTCTGCTGCAGTTTGATCAGTTTAGAGGAGGATCCATCCAAGTTTCAGTCTTAGTGAATTTCAAATTAAAAGTTCAGCTGAACTGTTACTGCTTTCAGAATCGAGCTTCATTCGTCATCTTTTACTCTGTGTAGTAACTTTTTAGTTACTTTGTGGTGGTTTTGATTGTTGTTGTTTAGCTCCTGGCTTCAGGTTGCTACTTTGAATGACCTGAGTGTGGGCACCAAATGAAAGATGTGAAAATAACGACTTTTCATTGTATTTTTTTTGACGAACAGACGGCGTCACAAGACTGAATTGTTACCTACAGTTCAGTTTTACAGCTTTCTTACAAAGACATCTTACACTATAAAGGTGACTGCTGTTGTCATTTGGTGCTAAATAAATAAAAATTGTCGCTGTTAGTTATCCATTAACATGCGGTCCATTTCCTCTGCTGTTAATTTTAATCATGGCTTCCTCAGGGCTCTATCCTTGGCCCACTTATATGATTTCTCCCAGCCAGATCACTCTTAGCTGTGATACCGCCCACTGCAGCTCTATGTCCCCCCGTCAGCCTCGACAGTTTGCTCACCTGCGTCAGTGATAGCAGACGCTGGGTGCTAAACACTTTCTAAGAGCTCAGCGATGATAAACACGGCGTCCGCTCTGACCTACAGTCAGCTCAGTTCATGGAACAAACATAAGAAGCTGTGTTAAAGTGTTCATCTTGGTTCTCTTTGTTTAAAATGTGCTCAGAATTGGATCATTGTCATCTGCTAATGCTTTGCACAACGTCACAAGTGCATTTAATTTTTCCCGCCATGATTATCGTGCTCCTCTCTACGCCACCATCAGATCACCGATATTATTAATAACTGTAAAGCATTGGATGGCTTTGCTCTGAAGTTCATTAAGAACCTCTTAACTCTCGGTGAATGTGAGTAAACAAAGATTCAGAGCTCAGTCCACCCACTCAGATCAAAACCTCTTTACTGACTTTTTAATCTCTTCTTAAAAGAGTATTTGTTGACATGCTTTGAGAGGAGTGAACACACGGAGACAGAAATCCAACACAATCGTGATTTATTGTAGGTAAGGAGCGCTTTCAGGAAAGTTTGGTATGAAGTCTCACCTGTTCGTGGTCCTCTGGTGGAGGAGGAGGGGGCGTGGCCAGCTGGCTGCCGTGCTGCTGTTGATTTTGCCGTTGTTGCTGCTGTTGGTTGTCGCGGGCCATCTCCACCATCCTGCGCTCCATCTGTTCCAGCCGCTCGAGAATGGACATCCTGAACTGATTATCTGCAGGAAGAGAACACGGAGGGTGAAACCCTGTCATCCATCGTCTATAGTTACTGACGCAGCGCTGCGGGGTGATTTTTTGCATTGTAGGGCGTTAGCATGGCGAAACAAAACTTTACAATATTTATAGGTTTATTTCTGCAAGGTCGTCTCCACTAACAGACGTCACTTATTCCTGAAGCGTAAACTGCACAGGGTTGCTACTAACAGGGCTGCTGAGTGAGAAAACTCCCTGGGTCCTACACTTCCCATGATGCACCGGTATCGAGGGTT